TTAAAGAGAACAGAAAAAAAAAGAAGAGGAAATCGTTGAAATAATACATTGTGATAAAATAAAATATTTTTTGAACAATAACATAAAAACTATAAAAAATGCTGAATTTAAAAATACTTGATTTTATAAAATAAATAAAATGTTTAATTATATTTGTAACATCATTATTATTTGTAACAAAGAAAAATTATTGTTATACCTAAAAGTATGAAACTCTCGTTCAGTCATTTCGAGTCGATTGTCTCGAAAGATTATACGGAAAAGAGTAACCTGTGTGGTACGAATCTCGTGGACATAGAATCGAGGGAGTGATTTCGACGAGTTCGGAACGCGCTTCCTTTTTCCGGTGGAAAAGCGATGTAGGTTAGCGAAGCGCGAAACCGGGAAAAATATCCGCAGCTAAAATATCGTAGCGAGACGGGCCGCGATAAATTATTGCAACACCGACGATTAATTCTTGCCGGACCGGCGATTAATCGCATCCTACGACACAGAGATGCGATATTTTATTGCTCTTTACCGAACGTTTCTTTTCCTCCTTCATGAAACACTTAAAAGCGCGACGCATACGGAGATCGCAAATAAATCTGCATTATTCAATCAAGCCTGGCGATTAAAAGCCGCTGGAGCTTAACAATCACATAGTATAATAAATACTAGGCATATTCAGATGGAATTTCATTATTCCTTTGTACATATATCTAGTTATAGCTTATACATTATAATTATGTATACCACTTAACAGAAAAGTCAATTAATAATAGAGAAAGTGAGAAAAGATTTTTATTTTTGGAGCCTTTAATCACAGCTAAAGATTTGTAAGATCGTTAATCGTTAATTGCAGTATATTTTCTTTTTGTGCGAATGACATCTATGTTCAAAATTATTGATTTGTGCATTGTGCATTCTTTCTTAAAATGCACTTTGAAGATATTCGCGACAACTACGAGGATTGCACAGTCGACAGGTAGTCAACAGATAGAGCGATCTGCTATCTCTCGGCGTGTCATGCGCGCGTATACAAAGGCGTATGTATTCACATCAGCGTACAAACCAGCCAACTCGTTCGCAGCAAGAGCATCATACGAAGTCGGCTTTATTTGCATTCCGGGGTCGGTTTCACCATCCCGCCGTGCATATACGCACGCACACGCACACACCGCGGGCGAACAATTATTTGCATTCCCGCTGCTAATACGACGGTGCGAAAGGGCGTCGCGGCGCATTCTCGCTGCGGTCGTCCTCGCGGCGACGGCAACAATTACGGAAAATCAGCGACGATGGTACGTCCTTGCGCGAAACCGCGCCTAAGGCTGCATCCATATATATATGTA